GATGGGGGGGGAGCACACCATGCTGTCCTAGGGTGTGCACGCACGAAAAGGCAAATACATCGATTGCACAGAGCTGTTTCACTCACTGAGTTTGGCTAGTACCCAATAAAGCACCTAATGATTAGTTCTTCAGCTTCATATCTCACTTACTTCAACCCCTTCCATGGCTGGTTATGATTTCTTTAACAGTCTCAGGCACATATCTGCTAGAGCACCAATTTGTTAACTGTTAGCCACAGTAGGCTGGGCAAGGAGACCCTGCCACTCTCCCAGCTGCTCTTGTCATTCAGCACTATTCGTATGGGCTCCCTCCCCACTCCCACAAGGATCTTCACCACCTGTTTCACCTGCAGGTTGAAGCCAGGTGTTTCCAGGACAGGACAGATGTCTCAGCCCTTTCAGCTTGGAGTTCAGGAGATCCAAAACAGCCTGTTGCCCCAAGGAGCTACCTTGCCTTCCCCATTGTACCTCCCCTGGGGGCTGTACAGCTCCCAGCTAGTCTCCTGCCCCCACTGCCCCTTCACATCAACACTGACGTTAAATCAAAGAGACATTTAAAAAACACTGACTTCGTACATGATGAAGGGCCCTACACATCCCAGCCCCTTCCAGAAACACCCAGCTAATATGCAATCTGTCAGAGGATGACAACATGCTGAGCCAGCACCCAGGCCACAGCCCTCAAAACACGGTACACTTTTTGCCGGGTTTCTTCACAGGCGGTGGGCAGAGGACAGCCCGGATGGCTTCATCAAACACCGTCTTCAAGCCCCGCTGCGTCAGGGCGGAGCACTCGAGGTACTTTACCGACCCTAGGGGAAAGAGAGCTCCAGCTCAACCACTCCAGTCCTATCAGGACATATTGTCCCTCACCCACTCCAAAATAAAAAGCTCAATACTATGGAGATCTGCCAGCACATGAGACTCACCAATCTCCCGAGCCATGGCCAAACCTTGGGGGTAGGTGATGGGGGCCAGTTTTTTATCACGTAACCTTTCAATGGTGTCCTTATCATCCCTCAAGTCCAGCTTGGTGCCCACCAGGATGATAGGTGTATTTGGGCAATGGTGCCGGACCTCAGGGTACCACTGAAACAAAGAGGCATGGTAAGAAAAGTAGCTATAGCAGTAGATGCATCCATGAGGATGCATTTACTATTAGGAACAAGGTTTTTATTACTATCTGACATGGTGCCAACACCTGAACAGGATACTTCTGCCTACAGTTCTGAATATGCTCTGCAGAAAGGGATTGGTGCAGATGTAATAATGAAGGCACTGAGACACGGAATCGTGACAGACAGCACCAGTCAACTCTGTACACTTAACTGCATTTTAGCTTCTAGGACATCTCTCATCTTCTTTAAGATGCAGATTCCAACAGACAAAAGTTTAGCCAAAGAATTAATGAATGAAGAGGTAGGCCACTCTTAAAACCTGCAGACTATGACCTTCCCTTATCGAAACATGACTGCTAGAAATTTTAGTCTTGTAGGTGTGGTGCTGGGTGGGGCAGGGGACTTCACTGGTTCTTCCCTTCCACTGTTTCACCCAGAAGGAGAGTACTTTACCTTGGCTCTGACATTCTCAAAGGAGGCTGGACTCACAAGGGAGAAGCAGATCAAGAAAACGTCCTGTGCAGAAACAAGAGGGTCAACCATGTAGAAAGAAACAGCTACAGATAATGGAAGGAGGGTGGAGAGGGAGCCTTCTAGAGGACAACCTCCTCCCATAAGCAAGGACAGTGGCTGTAAGAAATTCTTTCCCATTAAGGGTGCTAAACTAATTCAGAGAGGGAATGAATGAACTTTGAGCATATGACTTCATCTTCTTTCACAATACTGGGCTCTGCATGTTAAGAGCCCACGGCCACAAGTACCTTAACAGTGCTATGAGCTCCACCCCTGGTAGGGGGGCCATGTAGGAATCGCTACAGTCAGGGAAATGCTACTAGTGCAGCCCAACAGTGAGCTGTGCCCCTGAGAGAGAATGGGAATATGGAAGTGGCTTGGCTGTACAGCAGCCCCACACCATTCCTTTCACTTGAGCCTCCCTATGGCACACATAACTGTTCAAACACCGTTACAAAGCAAGGACTAGGATAGGACAATCTCTTAGGAGAAATGATACTGTGATACTTCTTAAACAACCAGAATTATGGCTGCAGCTGCAGGAACTTAGACTTTCCTCAAAGGAAAGAAGCCTGGCTGTCTCCAAGAGGGAGCAGTTAGAAGCCAGTCCAAGCCCAGCACTCACCGTCTGTGGATAGGAAAGAGGCCGCAGTCGGTCATAATCCTCTTGCCCTGCTGTATCCCACAGGCCTAGGTTCACTGGCTTTCCGTCTACCATGACATTGGCAGAATAGTTATCAAACCTGCCAAGGAAGAGTCCCCCATCAGCGACAGTCTTGTGACCCACACATCTCTTTATATGAAATCCAAGGAGGCAGTGAATCAGGAGAGGACACTGCAACACAGTTCCAGTGGGGATAGTCTGCCCTCCTCACATACACAGCCATACCACCAGCACCCTCCTCGTGTGTCAAGTTCACAGTCTGATTTTGGACAGCCTTTTCGTCACCTACAAAACCAACTTTTATACACACATGCATACAGAGCAAAAAGCAACTGAAACCCAAGGCCATTACTCACACGGTGGGGATGTATTCTCCAGGAAAGGCATTTGTGGTGTAACTGATCAGCAAGCAGGTCTTCCCTACAGCTCTGCAGAGGATAAGAGCAACAAGCGTAAAGAAGGGTATGGCAGGAAGCACTGAGGCAGTAAAACTCACCCTTCCTCCACCCAAAAAAGAGGTTAGGTAAAAAGTTACCACGTGAGAAAACAAACCTGCAGCAGGCTGGAATTCTCCAGCTGTCAGGGACCAGGCCTGAACTCATAGTGTGCACCTCGCCTGAGCACTTACCTGACCCTGCTCTCTCCTACTCCTTTTCCCCACCCATTCAGTCTCAGCAAAACACCAGGCAAAATATATTTGTTCCAGGAACCAAAAGAGAGGGAATAAATTAGAGTTCTGCGCTAGGCTCAACACATCCATAATAATCTAGCAAAGTGGGTAAACAGTGAGGTGAAAAAACATGCAACAACACAGAATTATTCGAGCTCCTCAGATACAGAAATTCAATGTCAATAAATACAAAGGGGGAAAAATAAGTATCCATAAACAAAAATGAACTTTAAAATTGACCACTGTCAGTTTGGAAAGAGATCAGGGTAGAGCACTGAAAATACCAGCTCAGGGCTCTGCTGAAGGCAGGTGGGATTGGTCAGCCCAGTGATGGCAGCTGGCAGGGGTTGGGCCTGGTTGGCAACAGCATAAGCATATGAAGTTTAGTTAGCCCTGTAGCATAAGGGAAAAGCTTAGTCATAAAAAGAGGAGTACCAGGAGTGTAAATAACCTATTTACCACTGTGAAAATTGTGAACTGCAGACAACCTTCCAGAGAAACAGATCGTGAGTGCCAGTGCCAGGGAAAGCTGTCTCTTGGGTGCCTTAGTGAAGCTGAATAGCCAGCAGAGATGGGTATCCTCTACCCAATTCTGTAACTGGAGTGATACAAGGAAAGACTTCAGGAGTAAGCAGGAGACCCCAGAGGACCCCACAGTCCTGCACCAGGATAAAACAAAGCACAGCGAGAACCACTAGAGTAATCCACCCAGCTTTTCCCCTGGATCGGGTCCCCTCTCGTGGAGAATGGCGAGATTGTGAAAGGAACCGCTATGCTGACCGGCTCGACTTTCCTCCTGAACCATGACCTCTCTCTCATCAAAAGGGAAGTCACATAATTCACAAAAAACACATATATCTATGATTAAAGTGTTTTGGTATCCAAGTTCGTTTAGTCTCTGCACTGTCAATTTGGTCTTAAAGCAAAACACCAGACTGCAAACCTTCAGCTGAAGTCCATTTCCAACATGCTGTGCTCCCAGTTGTGGCTCTTCCCTCCACAATAAGGCTGTGCTGTTTTGGTGGGTGGCTCTTTCTCCCACTCCCTCCTTTAGCCCCCACAGGCTAGAACCTGGAAGGCCTTGCTCCAAATGTGTATTTGAGGGGGTGGCATGCATGGGAAGGTGGAAAGACCAGTCCCTGCCTAAGGCCGGTTCACATTTATTTCTCCGTATCTCAGCTCTGTGCTTGCTGTGGTGATCAGAAAAGCAAACAGGAATTATGAGGAAAAACGTGCAGGACAAGCTAGGAAAAGTTAGAAAGCACCACAAATCTACTGCATGCCTGCATCTTGCATACAGATGTGTTCTCAGAAAAAGGCATATAGGAAAAGCCTAAAGAAAAGAGCAGGAAGGATGAAAGAGGCACATGGTGAAATCAGAAACAGCAACATATTTCACCTTGGAACACAAACAACAAAAGGAGATATGAGAAAAACCTGCGAACATCAAGATTTTTTAGAGAGGACGTCGTGATGAATCACACTTGTATGATGAAAAATAGCGAAATACAGGCACCTAATAAAATAATGAGGAGACAGATTTAAAACCCAAGAAAAGAAGGTATTTGTTTCCCAGGCAGTACGCTACTAGATGAGGAACTGAACAGCGCCAGGAGACGAAGATCCAAGTTTATGAAGTAAAGAGGGGGTGGGAAGC